CTCTAGAACTGTAAGAAATAAATTTTTATTGTTTATAAGTTACTCAGCATATGGCATTTTGTTATAGCAGACTGAATGGACCAAAATACCCACTGAACATATGAGTTTTAGAGAAGCTTCTAGAATGAAATAATGCAAAGGGAAGTTAGGTAGGCAAAGCTGGCTATAACTGGTAGGTGGTTGTGAACCATTCTATCTGCCTTCCATGTGAGGAGAAGGAGGCAAGATGCCCACAGAATGTTCTTCCATCAGTGACACTGTGGACTTCCAGGCAGGCCCTTTAGCCTTGGCATCACTTACTCGTGTAGTAGCCCCCCACAGCTGAGTCTGAAATCAAGTGGTATGGAGACTTTTCTCCAGGACAGGATGCTCGGCTGCCAGCTCTGTGCCAAGTCAGCTCAACCAAAATCATTTCAAGTGAACTTGACAACTAAGAATCTTCAGGAAAAGCCAAGTTCTTGCTGGACAAAAGCTTTCTCTGAAAATTTTCTTGCCTCGAGCACTCAGCTGGCTCTGGCCTGTGACCTGAAAGAACTAAAAGCCTATCAAAGAAGTCTCTCTGCTCTTCCTCCTCCACCTCCCTTCCCTTTCTTCCTGAACAATTCAGTCCAGGAGTCTTTGGGTGGGGCTGAAAAACGTGCCTGCAGCAGGCTGGGAAAAGCCGCAGTGATGTATGGGGTATGGTGAAGCCAGAGCAGGGTGCGTACGGGACAGCAATGATGGTGTTGGGTGCTGAGGCCAACTGGGGTAAATAGAATAGGAGGGGGGCACAGTGATCATCTAGAAAACTATAATGGTACCTAAATTTGATGAGGAAAATGGGAGTTTAGTTACATGATAGGGCTGGGGCATTGATCAAATAATAAATATATTGAGGTTACGGAGAAGTAACCTGTAAATATGAAAAGGGAGAAAACATGTTGTAGAACACAGTCCTTGGAGCGAAGCAGCCACCATCTTCATTAGATCAGCTGTGCCTGTTTGCAAGAGACTACCACCAGTCGGCCTGCAGAGTTGGCCTCATAGCAAGAGAAGTTGGGGAGGGTCATTGGACCCTCACCTGAGATTCCTATCACTCCTTCCTTCTTTTCTAAGTCATTTGCATGCAACTCTGCCTTAATTACACATGGTCCCCAGGTCTCAGGAGATGCTAGAGTATATAGGCTGGGGAAGTTAAACCAAAGGGAAGCTCCATCCATGATCATGGAGAAGCCTTCATCCATGCTGGGGAAGACTTTGCAGTGTGGCAGCTTCAGGGTCAACTATGATCCTGTAAACAGCCCTTCACTCATGCTTTTTAAGTAACCCCAATAAACTCATTGGTTTCCCAGGGTAACTGTTGAAGGAATCATACTTTGGTTTGTTCTTGGAACCTCTATAAAGAGGAGGAAGACATTGTTTCTCCAGTGAAGGAATTCTCACAACAAACATGAATGAACTCTGTATTAAATAAAAATTACAAGATCTCTGCATGGCTGGAGCAATTGCTCAGTTGGTAAAAGCACTCGCCATGAACATTGGACAATCTGAAAAGCCAGATGTAATAGCGCACATCAATAATCCCAGCACTTCTGCCATGGGGTACAGGGAAGCAGAGACAGGTGATCACCTGGTGTGTGCAGGCCAGCTAGCCTGGAGGACACAGCACAGGTGCAGAAACAAGAGACCCTGCCTCAACAAGATGAAGGCAAGAACCAACTCCCACAAAGTGTCCTCTGAACTCCAAATACATAGCATGGTATTTGCACACCTACACACACACACACACACACACACACAATAAAGCAATTTTACAAAAAGATTTCTGAGTGAACCCATGGTTTCCTGGATGGATGGATGGATGGATGGATGGATGGATGGATGGATGGATGGAGACGGACAAATAAGATAGGCATATGGATAGACACATTTAATCTCTAGTTATTTCAAATGAGAGTGCCAGGGAGCACGAACAATCCAGCATTATTATTGTGCAAGCACATGCACATCTTGGCACACAGATGCTCTTCTCCAGTAAGAAGAACTAATGTTCTTTGGAAGTGTGACTGATTTCAGGTCTGGGAAAGTATAAAATGAAATGGAGCTTCTTTTGATGCCAAAAAAGTGAGAAAACGCCCAAAGAACAATTGGGGTTTCTCCAAATGACATGAAGGTTAGTTTGACAGGATTCTCATAGCCATAACTGAACAAACAGGATAAAAACAATAAAATAAATGGTAAGGACTGGATGTAATGGGTTCCATAAGACCATATCGATATAAAGAAACACCACAAGATTGATGCGGCATGGGATAAAGATTCCATAGTCATACTCAGGTATATCCAAACAAAGTATTTATTGAATGCAAAAGGAAAATGTAGTTTTTTGGTAAGAAGCCTTGCAGGGACTCCCTTAATCCAGCGATCAAAAGTAATACTGAGTTAGACAAGGGGATGAAGAAAGTGCAACTGGGGTTAAAACCTTGATGACCTCTCTCTCTCTCTCTCTCTCTCTCTCACACACACACACACACACACACACACACACACACACATATATAAAAATTAAAATCTAGGATCTGAAAATGAGAAAAAAACATGAGTCTCAGTCTGGCTTATTTTGAGCAACATAATGATTTCTCCTTCACTATATTCACCGTCCTGTAAATGTCATGATTTGATTTTTCTCTATGGCTAAATAATAAAATTCCACTGTGTACACATATATTAAAAAAAAAAAAAAGGCCAGGCATGGTGGCGCACGCCTTTAATCCCAGCACTTGGGAGGCAGAGGCAGGCAGATCTTTGTGAGTTCAAGGCCAGCCTGGTCTACATAGTGAGTTCCAGGACAGCTGGGACTACAGGGAGACCCTGTCTCAAAAAGACAAACAACAACAACAACAAAAAAAAAACAGTAATATTGAGTGATTGGAGCTAAAACCTGCCCTCATCCAGGAACAAGCTGATACCATGTGCTACCTGCTCAGATACAGTGAGGACGCAGCATCAGTTCAATGGTACGGCCCACAAAGATGCCATGTAATCACACAAAAGCATCTGAAAGACCCAAAGTAAAGGGCATGCTACAAAACTCAGGGTGGTGGGGCATCACGCTGCCAATCTACTCTCAATAAATTCAAAATAAAGATATATCTGTACTGTATTTCAGACCTCTTCTTTAGGGTTGAGATGATCTCAAAAAAGATTATCTCAATAAAGAGTGACTTTATGCTATTGTAAAGTTGATGGAAGTCAAATGTTAGGATGTCTTAAGATCTAAATGAACCAAGTCTAACAATAATAACCATACTTTAATGTTTCTTAAATTATCTTTGATGAAGGATCAGTTTCCCCATAAGTGCACTATGCACCAATACTTTTTTTAACGTTTTATCTATTTATTTTTATTTTATGTGTACACGTGTTTTACTTGCATGTATGTAAGTGCACCCCTGGTGTACAAGGCCCACAGAGGCCAGAAGAGGGTTTCAGATTCTATGGAACTGGAGTCATTTCAAACAGTTACCGGCCACCATGTGGGTGGGAATTAAACCCAGGTCTTCTGCAAGAGCAGCCAGTACTCTTAATTGCTGAGCCGTCTCTCCAGTCCTGGACCAATGCTTTTGTAAACACATAATCAGTCCCACTCTTGGATTTCAAGATGGTATCAACACGCTACAATAGTTTTCCAATGCTTACTTTTAATGTCTATGCTTATAGATAATTCATGGACTAGCTCCGACTGCACTCTGAGGACCACTTCTCTCTTTTTAAAAAATATTTGTTTGTTTGTATGAATGTATTGCCAGAAGAGGGTGTCGGATCCCCTAGAACTGGAGTTATGGATGGTTGTTAACCACCATGTAGGTGCTAGAACTGAACCTGGATCCTCTGGAAGAGCAGCCAGTGCTCTTAACCACTGAGCCATCTCTCCAGCCCAGGACCACCTCTCTTAAGACAGGATAAGTGAATCCTCAGTTGCCATCATATCCATATGGGAAACAAATGCTGCTGGTCACACTATTAGCCACAATTGTATCCATAGTGATTGCCCTAACTAATACCAGCCATCTAAACCAGGAATTCAAGAAAGCAACTGCTCAGACAATGAGAGACTAGAAATGGGTCTTTCTTGTAGTAAACTCTACTTCTCTAAGTGGGGATGACAAGAATGAGTGAGAACATCCTCAGTTCAAAGTGCAATCATGCATCCTCTCAGGTTGGGGGACACATTCTAAGAAACACATTGTTAGGCAATTTCCTCATTGTATGAACATCACAAAGTGTACTTACAGAGACCAAGGTGGTTATGATGTCACTAGGAGATATCTCATGGGACCACTACTGTATATATGACTTATCACCCACTAAAACATCATTGCATGATGCATGACTATAGTTGACTTGTGATCATATAAAGGAAGTTCAAACCTAATCACATAGAGGTTAGATATAAAATATCTTCAGGAGGTCAGTCTGCAGCCCTGAGTCATAACTATCACTTCTGGGAACAGAGCCAGCATCCCAAAGGGGTTAATAGAACACATTACCCAAACTGGGTGGGTTTGATTTACCTCCAGTCACTGAAGGTCAAACTACTGACTTGAAGACAAAGACGACACATAAACCCTCTCTCATAAGTTCTATGCCACACGTGGCCAACAAGCAGTCCTCCAAGAAAAAAAAGAGAAAGAATCTGTGCAATAAACCAGGACAAGGCAGAGCGGCATGCAAGGAGCCATTGTATCCTGTCCACTGGGAAGGAGCAATGACACTCCTGTTGCTAAAAGCTCCTGCCACACACGCCCTAAAAGATGGCGTCGACTGCCATGACACCTGTGTGGGGGATGCAGACATCACTCACCTGGGGTGGTTTTGTAGCTGGATGTTCTGGAGGGCAGTGATGGGGTGTTATTGGCCCTGGGGCTTGGGGTGCTTTGACGGCATAGGCTCCACACTGAACCCTAAAAGATGGCGTCGATTGCCATGACACCTGTGTGGGGGATGCAGTCATCACTCACCTGGGGTGGTTTTGTAGCTGGACATTCTGGAGGGCAGTGATGGGGTGTTATTGGCCCTGGGGCTTGGGGTGCTTTGTATAACTTGTCTCTGCCGTTTCAATTCCTCTTCCCGTTCCTGGGCTGCTCGGATCTCTTCTTCGATCATGGACAAAGTTCGCTGCTTCCTTGACCTCAGCTTGAAGGGTCCAACCATCACATCAGATTCTTGAGTGGCTAAGAGGGAGGCAGTACTTCTCAGCTCAGCTGCCTCTGAGTACTTGCTGAAATAGCCTCCTTCAGGCCTGGTCTCTTCCATGTTGATTGGACCACTGGGCTGCACAACTGGCAGTGGCTGGGAGGGCCCCCTTTCCCTGAGTGCCCTGTCCTCCACAGGGAGAATCTTTGGTAATACATCCCTTTTCTCTTGAACAGGAGAGGATACCTGAGGTGGCGCAAACATGCTCTGGGGCTTCTCAGTGCTGGGAGGCTTGGTTTCAGCTTCCTCCAGAGTTGTGCCAGATCCCCGCTGTTCTGCTCCCTCCCTGCTGGTTTGGGGCCCAGCTTTATCCACCTGCTCAGCTATGGCTTGTTGAATGGCATTCTGCACCAGGATCCCAGCCTGGTATTCCAATGGGTCATCAACGGATGGAGAGTCCCCCAGTGTGGAGGAAGGGGAATAGAAACCATGGTCACTGAATGACTTAGAGACCCCTTCTTGACCGTCTGAGGGGTTGTCTGTTTGGGGAGTCTGAGGGAGAGAGAAATCAGCCAGTGAGTTTTCCTGGAGGGCATTGGGTGTCTCATTGGAGGCCCCACTGTCGCTGACGTTGTCCATGCTGAAGTCATTGGATAGTGTCTCCAGAACTGTGGTGTCCTGAGATCTCACAGATAACTCATCCAAACCTGAGTCCAGCTCCTCTTGGGTCAGAGATACATTGACAGTTCTTGAAAACTGATCCAAAATCCCATGGTCTTCATCCTTGACCACAGTAAGGACGGCCCGGGCGCTTGTGAACTCTCCATCCTCTGCCCACAGTTTAGATAAAGGGCCACGTTTGGAGGGCTCACTGTAGGGCCCTTCCTTTCCCTGAGTGGCAGTACTACATGGGCCTGCTCCTGCAGACTGGCTCTCTGACACACAGGGTGCTTTCTGCCCCTTTGTTGCCAATGTGCCACTGTCTTCTGAAGGTCCTCCCATAGAAGCTGGTCGCAAGATGGTTGGTGGCCTGTCTGAGTTGATGGATCCCAGAGGCCTGTAGAAAGGCTTAATGGAGAACAGCCTTGGTGTGCTCTGGCCTTTGGCCAGTGTTTGCCTGGAATTCTCCATCAGTTGGAACTGCTTGCGAGCAGCCGAGAAGTCGATCTGCTCTGTGACCACATCGTCCTTTGTGTTTTCAGTCCCTCCTGGATGTTCATAAGAGGAAGCTGGGGCTGTGCAGAGCTGGGGCAGAGGTGTCTTCTGCTGCTGCTGCTGCTGCTGCTGCTGCTGCTGTTGCAGCAGTAACTGCTCCTGCTGCGCCCTTTTCTCCTTGCGCTCCTTGTACTTTTTATGTGACTCCAGATGTTCCTCATCCAGCTGCTCCTCAATAGTTTTTTCCTGGGGGGGATTCCACCACTTGGCTGCGATGCCAGGGTTCTTCTTCATGGCCTGACTCCGAATGAGCTCCCTCCGCTCTTTCTCCAGCTCTAGCATCTCTTCGGAAGGTCTCACTTTCCGCACACAGAACTGCTCCTTCTGGTACTCATCATCCTCAAAGAGCTTGGAGGGCTTCTTTTCCTCGTGGAAGGCACGCAACTCAAACTTGGCCTCCTTCTTCAGTGTGGTAAGCGTGAACTCTCCATCTCGGGAGGAGCAGCGGGAGCTGGTGGAGGAGCTGGGGCTGGCAGGAGCCTGCAGGTTGTCTCCCAGCATGTCTTGGGACTGGTCAGGGGAATGCCCGTTTGCTCTTTCTCTTTCAGTCATGGTGTCAGAGGGGCTTCTGCTGAGCTCAATGTGAGGAGGCACTTGCCTTCCAGCCGCTTTCTCAGTTGGTTCTGCCTGGGTGGCTGAGCAGGTAGGTGTATGGGCAGGTGCGCTGAGGCTGCTTGCCAGGATGGGTGCACTGGGCTCTGGGGAGGAGATTCCGTTGTAAGTTCCATCCACAGAAGAATCACAGCAGTTGGCCTCCAGCACCTCGTCTAGATATCGGATCTCTCTGGCCACATCATTATCCAGGGACTCATGGTGATCAGTGAGGAGGCCATTGTGTGAGGGTGAATAGAAAGGGGAGGGATGGTCCATTGAATGGGGGGTAGAAGTGATCCCAGGAACACTATTACATTCTGTAACAGACACCTCAATTTCCATGTTTTTGTGATCTGGGGATAGAGAACTGGTGGCAGGCTCCAGGAGACTGTCACTACAGCTGTCCTGCTTGTTTCTCAGCTGGTTAGCATCCTCGGGAAGCTGGGGAGGCTTCTAGAATAAAGAGAAAACACAAATAGGGGTTACATATGCATCTCTCTTGATGTGAATGTTGAGAAATTCACTTATAACTAACAGAAAGGAAAACTAAAAGAATAATGACTCATACTTTTGAATAGAGCTCTCCCTTCTAATAACCCTTTAAATATTCCTTTTGTGGGATGATAGGTGGACAACTGTCAACTTGACACAGACTAGAGTCATCTAAGAATGCCTCACTTGAGGAACTGCCTAGATCAGATTGGCCTGTGAACATGTCTGTAGGGGCTTGTCTTGATTGTTAATTGATATAGAAGGGCCAGGCCACGGTGAGCAGTAACATCCCTAGGCAGGTGGTCCTAAACTATATAAGAAAGCTGAGTGTAAGCAAGCCAGCAAGCCAGCCATCCTCCATGGTTCCTGCTGTACCTGGCTGTGAAGTGAGCTTCTCGATTGAAGGTAATGCTTTGTGGAATATCAAGCAAGCCTGCTCTGAGGTTCCTGCCTTGACTTCCTTCAGTGGCGGACTGTAGCCTGGAACTGTAAGCCAAATAAACCTTTTCTTCCTCTAAGCTGCTTTTGGTTAAGGTGTTTTGTCATAGCAACATAAGAGAAGCTAGGAAACTAATTCTCTTATATTTACAGATTTCATTTTATTAATTGGTTATTCAAAGGAGGCAAGTTGCAGTTTTAAATTTGATCTTCTAAAGAAGAGGGGGCCAGCAAGAATGCTCAGCAGGTAAAGGCACCTGCCGTCAAGTCTGAGGACCTGAGTTTGATAGCTTGGGACCCACATGATGGAAAGAAAACCAACTCCTGCAAGTCATCCTCTGATTTACACACACACACACACACACACACACACACACACACACACCACAAATAAAAATAAATAAAAATGTTAAATAAAATAAAGTAGAAGACACAACATAATGTACAAAGTTTTTCATTGCAAACCATTACAGGCTTTGTGATGGGACTATTTCTGGGTCCCCCAACCACAAAAGAAAGGCTGTTTTGCAGGAACACTTCTATAATTGGCCACGTGCATTATAAACCCCGTAACCTAGACCAGTGACTGCACAGTTCTGTTCTCTAGGACTGTATCAACACAGTCCTCCTTCATTTCCCATTGTGTTGAGAAGCCAGTGGCCAAGGGCACTGCCCTCCAGTTTAAGATGCTTTGTGTACAATATCCCTGTCTGTGGTTAATAAGAAATGGTATCTTGGGGCTGGGAATTGGCTCCGCATTAGAGAGTGCTGACTGCTGTTGCAGAGGACCCAGGTTCAATTCCCAGCACCCACATGGTGGCCAACAACAGTGTGTAACTCCAGTTCCAGGGTAACCTGACACCCTCTTCTGACCTCTTCAGGTTTTGCATGACATGGGTGCACTTACATACATGCAGGCAATACACTCATTCATACACATAAAATAAAAATAATAAATAAAATATTCTTTTAAAAAAGAAAGAAATAGTATCTTAGCTGGGTGTGGTGGCCCATGCCTTTAATCTCAGAATTTGTGAGACAGAGGCAGGTGAAATGTCTGAGTACAAGGCCACATATGAGTTCCAGGTCAACAGAAAAGATTTTTTTAAAATATTTTATTTAGCTGGGCATGGTGGCACATGCCTTTAATCCCAGCACTCAGGAGGCAGTGAGTTCCTGGTCTACATATGAGTTCCAGGTCAACAGAAAAGATTTTTTTAAATATTTTATTTAGCTGGGCATGGTGGCACACGCCTTTAATCCCAGCACTAAAAAGACCCAAAAAAAAAAATTTTTTTTTAAATTTTCATGTATGAGTGTATTGCCTGCATGTATGTAAGTGCATCTGTGTCACGCAATGCCCGCAGAGGTCAGAAGTGGGCATTGGATTCCCTTGAAGCTGGAGTTACAGATGGCTGTTAGCCACCATGTGGGTGCTGAGATTTGAATCCAGGTCCTCTGCAAGAGCAGTCAGTGCTCTTAACTGCTGAGCCATCTCTCTAGTCCCAAAAGAAAAGAAATGTCATCTTAATGTTTTTAAATATAGTAGTTTCACTTCCATTTTCTAATCTGTGTAGTCTTGCTATCTGGCTGGTTACTCTGTTTTTTTATTAAAATTAAGTTTCATTTTTAATTTTTAAAATATTTACTTGTTGTCTGTGTACACATATGCATGTGTGCCTCTGTGTGTGAATGAATGTCAGGGACAAATTGTGGGAGTCAGTTTTCTTTTTCCACCCTAGTGGAGTCAAGGAATGAACTCACATTGCCTTTAACTGCTGAGTCATCTTGCCACCTAGATAATAATTTATTGTTCACATCATAGGACTCCAGTTTATCTCAGAGAATTCCAGCAGTGGATTCTGGTCTTGGTCAGGCCTGCTTCCCCATCTCTCGTTTCAGTGTCTCTGGTGTTATGGACAAGATACAATGCAAAATTGCACATGGTATAATAAAAGCTTTTAGCAATTTTTAAAGATTTTTAAACACTGGGGCTGGAGAGGTGGCTCAGCTATTAACAGCACTGGCTACTCTTACAGAGGACCCAGGTTCAGTTCCCAGCACCCACATGGTGGCTAACAACCATTCATAACTACAATTCCAGGGGATCCAACCAACACCCCTTCTGGCTTCTGTGGGTACTGCACAACATGGGTGCACTTACATATATGCAGGTAAAACACTCAAACACATTAAAAAATAAATAAATAAAATTTTTTTAAAAAGATTTAAGAAATTTATATGCATGTGTGTGCGTATGTGAGTTTATGTACACCATGTGCATGCAGGTGCCCTTGGAGGTCAGAAGAGATCATCAGATCTCCTGGAACTGGAATTATAGGCAATTGTAAGCCACCTGATAAAGGTGTTGAGAACTAAGCTGGGCGTGTTGGCTCCTGCCTTTAATCCCAGCACTTGGGGTACAGAGGCAGGTGGATCTCTGTGAGTTCGAGGCCAGCCTGGTCTACATAGCAAGTTCCAGGTTGGCAGCTAGGGCTACAGGGAGACCCTGTCTCAGAAAGACCAAAAAAAAAAAAAAAAGGTGTTGGGAACTGAGCAGTAGATGCTCTTAACTGCTGGAGCATCTGTCCAGCTCTGGTTTTCAATAATTTTTAGGGTTAAAGATGTAATATCAAGACATCACCTAATGGTGATTCTCAGATTAATTTCAAAGCTATTTCAAGGAAAGCAAGTGATTATGGTTTCCTTCATGAGGCTTAGGAATATGGAATTCATCATGCCCTCTGCATTACTGTCAAGGTGTTGAAAGACTATCATGCGTGATCTGGGGACTCCCTTGCTTCCCACATTCCTCTTGAAACTTAAATAAATCAGGTTTTCTCTATAGTTATAGGCAACAAGAATGAACATTCCTCTTGTTAGCACATTCCAGTGTCTGAAGCTTTGCAGGCTAGGTTTGATCCCTGTAAAACTCTGATACTTAATATTTCTATGTATGGGGTTCTGAATTCAAAACACACAAAAATTATGACTAAAATTAAGATTTTTTAAAGTCTTTTTTGAGGGGGCTGGAAAGAAATTTATATGCATGTGTGTGCCTGTGGGAGTTTATGTGGCTCAGGGGATAACAGCACTTGCCACCAAGCCTGACAATCTGAGTTCTATCCCCAGAACCCACATGCTGGAGGAAGAGAACAAACTCCCACAAGTTATCCTCTGACCTCCACATGCATACTCTAAAACAGAAGCACTCACACACATGAAATAACTACATAAATGTAACAAAAACTATTTTCATGGGGCTGGAGAGATGGCTCAGCAGTTAAGAGCACTGACAGCTCTTGCAGAGGACCTGGGTTTGAATCCCAGCACCCACATGGCAGCTAACAACCATCCTGACTCCAGTTCCAGGGGATCCAACATCCTCTTCTGACCCCCGTAGGCATTGCACGACATGGGTGCACTTATATACGTGTAGGCAATACACTCGCACACATAAAATTAAAAAATTATATAAAACATTAAAAAATATTTCCTTAATAGCCTTTGTATAATTAAATTTTGGTTAGCATACAAAATAATGAGTTTCCTTATAACCTGTTCATACATCAATATCACTGCCCCTTGCTTATATTAATCCCTTCATCCTTCCCATCCTCACTATAATCACCAATGTCTTATTTTTAATTTTGACCATCATGAATTAGTGGTTCTTTTACCTCTAAAATGAAGCAAAGAAGTCTGTTAATTATGTTTTTACTTGTCTCTTTTGTACTGGTGGAGACTGAACCCAGGGCTTTGTGGATGCTATACAGACACTATCATCAAGCTACATCTTTGTCCCTATACTGCCATTTTAAAGCCATTTAAACAAAGCAGTGTTGGGGCTGGAGAGATGGCTCAGCAGTTAAGAGCACTGGCTGCTTTTGCTGAGGACCTGGGTTCAATTTCCAGTATCCACATGGTGGCTAACAACCGTCTGTATCTTCAGTTCCAGGGGATCTGACGTCCTCTTCAGACCTCTGCAGGCATTGCACGATACAGGTGCACTTACATACATGCAAGTAATATACTCAAACACGTAATAAAAAATAATAAATAAATAAATTTTAAAAATAAAAGTGTTTCCATAAGGTGATTATCAGTGCCTTCTACTCATATCCTTAGGAATTACAGATACATGCTGAAGATGTAGCTTTGTGGTAGAGCTTTTGCCTAGCACATATGAGACCTGAAACTCAAATACCAGTACTCAGGGTGAGGGGGGAGAATTACAGAAAATTTCAATTCCTGAAACTTATGAGCAGATACTCCATTCCAAGTAAACCTGGGCCAAAGTCATCTTAATCCATGGAAAGTTATTTCTAGAATAATCAGATCCCCAAGGGAAGACAAAAGTACAGAGGTGAAGGGGCACCCCTAGTTCTAGTGTCATCTGGCCAGTGGCTACCGAAAAGGCAGAGCTTTTCTTTCAAATTTGGGAGGGAAAAGTTGGAAAATAGGAAGTTGATGGGAGGACAATAGAGTTGAAAAAATCAGTGCTCTACAGAAACATAAAAGAC